GAAAAGGGGAAATCCAGCAAGAGCAGGTATTAGCATATGCCAATGGCTATTCAAATTGGCCAGTGGCTAGATTATATCGAGGCAAAGTTGCAGGTTACAGGTTGGTTATACATGTATGTCACTTGATATAATTTGGTACATATATTATCTATTTTACGGTAAAAAATCACCATATCTATGTGTGGGTAGGACAATTTAATATCCATTTGTTCTTCTCTTAATATACTTTTTGTGATACTATCTGTGTTCCGTTGTTCTACTGATGTACACTTATTTAGTCAATTTCACGAAGTACATTATCCATCACATCATTCAGTCCTAATGACAAAGGATACTTACTTTGTCTAGAGACTAAGTAATGGCTATATACATGTCTATTGTATAGACATTTTCTATACGTTTCATCTAGAAACATTGTATCATTCCACACATCGTGTCACGATCAAAATGAAAGCAATATTTGGATTCAGTTACATGTATATAGTACATCAAGTTATTGTTTCAGTAAGGCCTATGATACACTGTTAATAACACGACATGAAACATAACAACTTTCTAAAGTTTGAAACAAAATGCAGAGCATTATTTAACGAAGCATTTCTTAAGGCGAAAGAAATTTTAGATTAATCATGATTTTATGTCAATCTCGTAGCTAAACGTCTTTTTTATATAACCGATGATGATGAAATTGTTTAAACCGGTGCAGGGGTGGTGTCGACTGTGTCGATTTATTTCAGTCGGATATTAAGCAATTTCAAACAATTTTGCAATGGTCTCCTTCTATACTATCTCCTTTCTTAAGAGAATTCACATGCTATAACAGTATAAAAATGACAAACATTTACTGTCAATCTTAGTACATTTTGTGGTATACTTTCAAAGAAATATCACTCATGCATGAACAGTTAATTTACATTTTTTCACTAATGTTATAAATAACCCTATTATGACCAGCTGCCTATTTAGTCAATACAATACAACAATCACAAGTAACTTCTTAAATTAGCTGAATTTCTTATGATATATTTGTCTAGCTTTCCCTTTTACTTTGATCTGTTCATTACAATTTAAGGAATATTGAGATGAAAGTTAAAAGTAACTCAACAAACGTTATAGAGCTTGGTTAGAAAGCACGGCTATGCTGGCTGACCTGACTCTAAACTAGTGACAACGGCTAATCCATTTCCATGACGATGTCATTACTCGTCCTATAAGGTTTTTCCTTTTCTTTTTTATTTAATAGTGTTATTGCAAATGACGAAAATTGTTAGCATATTTAAATCAATACGGAGCGTTTGTTCTGGACAGTGGTGTCATAGCTAGAACCACAGAAGAGCTCGAACTCTCAAAGTTGAGCTGAAGACAGTAAGACCGTTTCATTAAATCTGTGTTCAATTTACAACGACGACTTTGAAGTTTATTTTCATATGTTCATTTGTTTGTTGTTGTTTTTTTTATTGTTTGTTATTTTTTTTTTATTTATTTATTTATTTTTATTTTTTGTTGTTGTTGTTTTTGCTGTTTTTGGTGATGGGCACGACATGAAACCGAGTTTCAAGATTTTATTCGCTGCAATTTTATACGACTATTACCTCTCTCTAAATGCTTTAACATACAGTACAAACTTACAATGAAGTATATTGGCAAACTTAGAGTTAGAAAATTGCATATAAACTGTGTGACATTTGCAACAATTGTTTTTGTTTTAATGACATTAAACGATGCTTATACGCGTGGTAAGCATGCGATTATGAATGAATTATTTAATGACCCAGAAGATTTTATGGAATCAATTAACCTTAACGCTGCAGACCTTCTGAATATCATTTGAGGAAAAAAATTAAAACAATTACAAGCCATCTACAGGAAATGATGTCAGTCTTCGAATGTAGCTAATGTAAAATAGAACTCATTTGCCTAAGTAACAAGAGTGACTATCTTCTGCACATCTAGCCCGGCCATTTGGAATGCATTTAGAAATAAATGTTAATCATACATCATAGCATGTATTTTAAAAAAAAAACACGTAAAATGTTATCTAAAGATGTGATGTTTTATACAAAACATTGATAATTGCAAAATATTCCCAAAGAATTGTTTGAAATAGATAAATGATAGGAGAAAATGTTTCTTGAGTGCACGTGTAAATTAATTACCACGTGTTCTTAAAATAGAAATATTGAATCGCCGCTTTTATTGCAAAATACAAGTGTCTTAATAACACGCATATAGATTGAAATCAATTTTTATTGGGGTCGTTTACGCATCGGATAAATGAGCCGCGTCATGACAAAACCAACATAGTGTGTTTGCGACCAGCATGGATCCAGACCAGCCTGAGCATCCGCGCAGTCTGATCAGGAGCCATGCTGTTCGCTATCAGTTTCTCTACTTGTAATAGGGTTTGTAAGCGAACAGCATGGATCCTGATCAGACTGCGCGGAGGCGCAGGCTGGTCTGGATCCATGCTGGTCGCAAACCCACTATGTTGGTTTTGTCATGACGCGGCTCAAATGCAATATGCATAGCAGACGATGTTGAGCAATTTCCAAGAAAAAAGATGTGATAAATAACTGAAATATTGGTGGTTGTATACTATTTCTTCTTTTATTGAAAATCTTTCTTTTATATGCAAATCGATAAACCCTCTGCTGCACTGATCTCAACATATATATTATATTATATTTATATATTCATACGAGCCTGTCTAAGCAGGGCCCGGGGCTATAAAATATAACAATTTGCCTCGAACGCTACGATAACAGGTGATTTTCCAATGTATTTAATAACAATGCATTGAAATATATTAATTGGATTGCCCGCGTTTAACTTCTTTACAATACATATCCCGAATACACGTCGGGAACGAGGCAATTTGAATGAAATTTAAAAACTTCAAGGGTATTAATAATTCCATAATCTTAAAGCCGATTCTTGAAAAATTATGTAACATAAAATGCTTCTGTTATTCAACACATGTGTATATTGTGCTTAAACAGAATAACATGTTCACCGGAAGAAATTATTATGATGCTATTTAAAGTAGAGCAATGATTTCGTGCATGAGCAATTTGATTTTAATGCATTGTACTACCATATTTATTTCACACAAGCATTTTAGAAGTATTCTCTTTATTTTTTAATTCAAGCAATATGTTTTGCAGCAGATGTATAGCTTTATACACTTTAAAATAATAACATTATGCCATTTTAATATTTAACATTTCAAAGCGTATAAGATAAGTGTAGTCAAACTCTATTCTAATGGTAATGTTTAGAAATTACAAACAAGAATTGATTGGCATGCAGACATGTAATAGGAAATTAAAGCCATGGAACTGATGAAAACCATACATATAGAATTGACCTTGCAATAGTCTGGCCAATGTATTCTAAATATATGAATAATTCTGTAAGCTCAGCAAATTCCAGTCTGTTTCACATTCAAAGTTTCACCAGTTCATGTTAAATGTTTTCTGCCGATGCTATTTTGAAATTTATTTTAGATTTTCAATTATATAATGTCAATACTGGGTAAAAAAGATGTTTTGTTAGGATTTTACAAATGTAGAAAAAATAAGACAGAATATCATTTCATTGAAGTACAATGTTGTCTTGTCGAATTAAGCAACAGATAATCGGTTATGTCGATATAATTGGAGTTTATATTTAAGTGATAAAGATTTTCCTTACTATTTTAAGTCTTCAAATGCTTATTACATGCACATTCAGCTTAGTCTTCGCTGTTACACACATTAGAGTAATCAACAATTATTCAGGAATCCGGGGCACAACCCCCCCCCCCCCACACACACACACACACCAGCCTCCATCCCTCCTCGTTCAAAGAATACATCATTAGGCATTTTACATGTTGAATGTTAACTTTAGCAGATCTGTAATATCTTGCTAAAGTATTTTATATGATAGCTTTAAAACATTTGTTTTCGTTGTGAAACATGATATAACTGGTTCATGAACGAAATCTGGAAATACAATTACTGGCGTGTTAAACAGGAGAATAAACAATGATTGATATTGTTAAACGCATTTTCAAGACACCAGAAGTCAATACTGATCGGTAGTTGTTGAAACGCCTTTCACACCTATAACAATCAGCTTGATTAGAGGAGATCAGTTTTGTTATTACTCCTTCTTGTGTAAGAAAAGAAAATAGTATTCTACTTTATTGAGGTAAAGTTCAGAACAATAATTATGATGATAAATATTTAATACAGTTTCTTTCAGACTTTTTAGCTAAAAGAGATTAATTATAGATTTGAGATTCGTACCTGAAAAAAAAACATGCAATGTGTAGTGACAAAGGTAACTTACTGTATATTAGAGTTTTGTTCAAATTTGTTTAATCAAATAATGTAATACTTAACTTAAATTGTGCATAAAATTCAAGAAAAGCATCAAGCTTACTATTGCTTATCAGTTTTACACTTACGATATGGCAGATTATATGCATCAAAGTTCGTTTAAACAAAATTATTCATAACAAATCAACGGCAAAATAGCTGATAGTCATCATTAATTGACCATTTTCTAGGCTGTTACTTTGATAAAATGGTAAGAAATATGATAATGATAATGATAAGTACAATATTCCTGTTTGAGGATTCACATATATTATGCATTGAAACTGATTAATAATAATTGTAACAATATTTATAAAAATAACGTTATGTTATGAAATTCTATACTTGATTGACTATGATAAATTTTTTTACAACGTATGTACTTTATATAACAATCTTGCAAAAGAATCGTCTCTAAAAACTTTCTTACATTACTTTAAGCGGGGAAAAAAGTTTTTATTTTAAAAACCGATGTTTTAATATCGTTAAAGATCTTTAATTCATATATCTATATACAAATATTATATATATATATGTGTATCACCACTTAACTAATCTATTACATATATGTCTATATAAATTCAGGCGTATAGAGAGATACATATATTCTACACAACACATTTCATCTATGCTTACCAAATAATGATATCAAAACCACAAGCGTTCCTGTTTGTATATACATATCTGCCATCAATCTTGGAGCAGCTTTGTTAACATTTAAGGCGATTACGCATTCCTATCCATCAACCTTTTTCTTCTCCTTTGCCAGGAGCAAATTTATACACTAATCAAACGCACTATTCTTTTTTTAAGAAGATCTATTTTTCCCTATTTGCTAGTCTATTTTGTGTCGGCACCAACGCTCAATGACAATTTCTTACTATGTTTTCCAAACTAATAACACATCTCAATCCGGCTAAATTATTGGCTTTCAGTGAAAATCAACTCAATCCTTCACCACAGAAAGTTCTTTTATTTCACTTTAATTCCAATAGTTTAGTAGGAGAAATGCAGCATGAATATATCTCCGGTAACTGAGTTGTATACTGGTTATTCAGGTATACAAGATGTCATGTTTTGCAAAGAGCTTTGCATGAACAGTGTTTTATCGACCATGCACATAGCTATAAAGCGCTGTGAGCTAGGAAACGTCACAAAGGCTAGAGAGAGCTTGGAAAAAGTCGATATTAAGATGAGCGCGAGTGCAGTGAATGGGAGGATAATATGTCATCGTAAAAATGACCTTGGGGAAGTGAATCTATTTTCTATTTGTCCTTTTTTTCACAAAATATCAATATCATATCAACATGTTTCAGATAGATTGTACTCTGTTCTCATTTTATTTCACTTGCATACAAAAAATCACTGTGTCCTCAAGAGCATGGGAATGTTGATCGTTCAAACAGTACACAAAATATATTATGTTAGTGTCACAATATCAACTTGTATTTACACTTCAAATCGTTTTGAAATCATGAAATATGCATAATGCAAAGCTGCATGCGTCACAAATATTGTTTTATGCAATGTATTTTGCTTTTATTAACACAGATAATGACACACGCACCAATCTATTTCTTAAATTGATATAATGAAAGGAAATAAAGAAGAAATATTATTTTTGTATCAAAGGGAAATAAATCGACTTGCCTTAAAATGTTCATAAATAATAGATAGCACATGATCAATGGAATGAATTAGATAAAAGAAATGTCATGGTAATTAAAGAAGAGAAATAAAATGTATATTCGAAATTTATGTTTTTATTCTTCATAATTATAAAAAGTTTAACTCATTAAAATTATAAAAAAAAGTATATGTACAGAGTAAATGTTTGGTATAAGAAATAAATAGAGGCTCTCTGTATTGAACGAGGAAGGGGCTTATCATAGGCAAAAATAAAAACACTTTCCAGGTCGTCATTATATAAAACCACGAGTAAAAATGTAACCAATAAACGAACAACTGAATTTGAATTATATCCTACCGTGACAATAAGTAAACCTCAGGAAAAAAGAGTAGGCGAGCATGCTTTATTTTAAACAACGACATACAGTGCGTTAATTAGAGGGCAGTTAACGCACTGTGCATGCATGGGTACACCATTAACTCTGTCACATTTTTTCAATAGAAAGGTCTCAGTAAAAATAAATCATGATTTAAGTAATAGAAAGAGCACCGAAACTCTAGGCTATCTGATTTGTACGAGGGGCGTAGTCCCCCGAGTATAAATCAGATTGCCGAGTGTTTTGGTATTCTTTCTCTTTTGTATCATAGTCAAACATAACAACACGTTCCCTGTTGTCACAGTATGAAACCCCAGAAAAGAGTAACCAATGAAAGAGCATCTAAATATAATATTTCTGCCGCCTTTCATTCTCTGTCGTTATAATAAGTAAACCCCAGCAAAAATTAGCCAATCAACGGGCATGCTCTTGAGTGCGGGTAATTGATACATGTACTTCAGTTAGTGTATGTATACGATTTAACTCTGACACTTTTCAACAGAAAGGTCCCCAAACTTTGATACAATTTATTTTTACGTCGATTTCAAACCTTTGTAGTCTGCGGATATTTCTTAATACTCAATTTCAAGAGAAACTCGGTTTTATTAAGCCTGTTTATGGACGGAAGTACAAACCTTGAATTTTCTCCCTATCTGGCTAGCTGTTTTGACAGTTAACCTTTTACCCCATTAAAAGGCCGTTTTCATTGAAAAACCTCCTGTAACAAGTTCAAACTGCTATCAAACTATGAAAAATGCTTCAATACTGATGAAACTTGGCACAAATGTTGACTAGACCATAGCCTCTGTAACAGCATGCTAAATTGTAAATTTCCTGTTACCGTGGCAACGGGGGGACGTCTCAAAATTGCCATAAATCACTATTTTGCTTTTTTTTCCCTCAAAGTGCAACTTCTCAATTTATTGAGATAGAGTGAAAGGCTTTTCATCGTCTGTTACTAGTTACCATAAGATTACAAAATAAACTAGGCGATAAGGGGGACTACCGCCCCCTTCAAACCCCCAAAACAGAAGGGGGCATAACCCCCTTCTGGCTACCCCCCTGATGTAACATTTGGATGGGGACGGCGCCGAAAAAGTGGTCATTTTTTAAACAACATTTCTCAAACGAAAAACAGTGTTTGGGGCCTAATTAGGGCATTTTTTCACTGTTTGAGGACTCAATTAAGGGGGGGGGGGGGCAAAAAACCGTCGAAACACGCTTATATAAGGCAAAAAGCTTAAACTATCATCGATGTGTTTCAAAGGTTTCATAGAATGACTTAACACGTATTTTATAAACAGCTAAGGCCTGATGAACACGTCATCTGCAGTTGTATCAGAAATGTATGATCAGTTCGTTTTTCTTTTAATTCAAAAATTCTAAAATGTTTTATTCAATCTAAACGCACAGTATATGAACAACATAGAGTGAAATAAGAATCCCTTAAGAAACAAGTCTACATCCTGTTATCGCAATTAAGGAAAAAGTTAAAATGTATAGGCTCTCAAGTAACGTAGAGTGATCGGAAGAAACATTTGCTTTTACTCGCAAGACAGGGTACACATTAAATTACATAGGCTCACAAGACAAGGTATTTTAAATACAGTGATTTTGTTTATATACTGTTAAACTGTTTAAATACGCCAACGCATGATTTTTTGTGGTTGTTGCGGTTTCTTCTGTTGCTGCTGCTGCTGCAGCTGCTGCTGTTGTTGTTGTTGAGTTATTGTTATGAATCCATTCAAAGAATATAAATAAAATTGTTCATACTTATGTGCACACGTTAACAGTTACACTCACTCGTTTTGTGAAAATCAAGCCTATTGATATTAGACTAGGAAGTTTTAGTATACCTCATTCTATAAGGGAAAATATGTTTGTTTACCTGTATAATAACACAAGAAAGAATGTTTATCGAATGTCACACAAAACTTGAGAATGAAATTTAGGTAACCGTAAAAGCCATAACAAAGCTAGCTGTGGATTCAGACGTAAAACCAACTAGGTCCCCTTATTCTTTTTGTTTTTTAAAAAAGTGAATATGTCATTCAACTTTTAATGCTGGTGATAGTGGAACTAGATGTTAAATGTTTTGAAAGTACGGATAACAACCTACTACCTACCAAATTGACGCTCATTGACCTTACCCTATGTTAAAGGCCATTCCAATTGTTAGTAAATGTGCTGTCATTTACTGTAGATGTAATTGTATGCCTGTGAAATTAAAAATAAATAAAAAAAAACAGCAACAACAAAACAAATGTCATATTAAAAGTAAAAAAAGAGTTCAACAACCACTAGTGTAAAAGAAGAGGAGTATTCTATTAATTGAATATACTCATAATTATGTTTGGTGTGAAACAACGTCCAGAGTGTTTTAATTAGAATATCTTTGTTGACACAAAATCATGTAAAACTTTTTTCGTGGTCTATTTGAGATTTGTTTCGGCATCTACCACCTACAAGCACCGTATTTTTCTTTATGTCAAATATCTACCCGTTCTTCCTTTTGATAGGAATTCCCTATTTCTTTTCCAACATGTATTACCCGAAAATCGCCATAAAGGAAAGGCAAATCTAAGATTCATTTTCGGAGGGCACTTAAATCCTTTATCAAAAGTTATCCCACCAACACACACACGCACGCACACACACTCACACACACACTCGCACTCCAGCGCACACACGCGTATAGATTATTTTTTAATGACGTTATACAAGGAAGTTTTAGTTAAACAAGGAAATTTTAGTTTGAATTAATTTCAAAATATATAAAAAACGATAATTTATGCGGAACATTGAAAATAAGAATGATCTACAGACATACCATTAAATGAAATAAAAATCTCCAGGCATATTTAGAAAATTTGAAAATTGTCGACCACAAAAGAATGACGGCAATACGACACGTCCCTGCGTGTTTTCGATTATTAGTTGCGAAGAAATCCGACATGGGGAAATTCATCCACCATTAATAAAAGCTTTCATATGGTTATAAAATACAGTTAAAATAATTACCTCCATTATTACTTTATGTCACATTAATTGATATTTGATAGCTTTTTTCTGACGAATACAAAATAAAATGTCCTTGTCATAAAATTTTCCTTGTCATACATTTTACCGGTTTAAGGAAAATTTTGGGGCTGAACCGGATAGTATTCTTGATGAAGCATATAAGCGTGACTCTTAACTGCTAAAAAAAACTTTGAGGTAGGCAACTAACATATTATTGTCAAGAAGAAGATAAAGTTGTAAAAAGATTTTGAGAAATACCTTCTTAAACAACTATATGTTCTATGATTCAAAAGTACAGGTGACGTTTTTTAAAACATATTTTTTGCCCACGTGATATTATAAACCAAGAAAACTCCTATACCGTGTACAAACTCAATCAGATGTCAAAAATTAAGTTGTTGTTTTTTTTTTATTATTATTATTATTATTTAGTATTATTGTTTTCGTGCATTACTTTAGCTGAGTAGAACCACCGGCGTTCCATAGAAAAAGCAATAACTTGAATACATGTACTATTTTATCTAGTACATTTCGAGTAAAACTATGGCAAGTTTGATGTAATGTTATATATTTTTGTACAAAACAAATAAAGAATGAAATCTGTTAAATTGAAAAATGGAATGCGGATGAATGTATCTAATTTTGGGGTAATTGTAAAAGGGGAATAAATGTTATGTTACTTAATATTTTTGAATAAACCAGATCAAATATCGGTAAGATAGAAGGTGTCAAAATAATATATTTTTTACTACCGGGAGCAACTGATCTGTGACGTAGTGGAGTTTATCATATAACAATGAAAATTAAAAGGGGTATTCCCTTAAAAATAGTGTACCTGTAGGAATAATTTACAAACATGGTAAGTGAACATTTTTCCAGTTTTGCATTTTTTTTAAATAACATTTTCTGAATATTACATTGTAATACAGTCCCTGGGGACCGTTTGTGTGCAAAAAAGGTCCATGGATAAATGTTATATCAATGTTAAGCTAAATATTTGAAGTTTACAAAAATTTTGGGAAGACATGTCAAATTATGGTACGTTTTGAGAAATCCAAAATGGCCGCCAAGATGGCCGCCAATGTATTGAAAAATGGCTCATAGGCAT